CTAGAACTGAAATAAAAAAAAAAATTAATATTTTTTATATTAATATAAAAATTATTTGTTATATTAAAAATTATTCTTTTTTTTAAAAAAAAAAGGTTACGAAATGTTTTCCTGTAACATTAGGATTGGGAATACAAAATCATGACAATAATTTATTAATAATAAAACCAAAAAAAAATAAAAAAATAGCAGTAATACTAAATAGCTTATCTTCCTGTAACATTACAATTGATAATACAAAATCATGACAATAATTTATTAATAATAAAACCAAAAAAAAAAAAAAAATTAGCAGTAATACTAAATAGCTAGATAATGTACCATTAAAATTCTAAAACTGAATTTGAAATCAAATATGGATGCATAATTTTAATTCTTGGAGGATAGGGTTTCCCGTAGTATATAGTCGGTAAAATCATATAAAACCTACACGCTCTTCACCCTATTACTCAAACCAAAAGCGCACACACACACACACGTATATATATAGAGTTCAAAAGAGTCAGCCTTGAGAGAAAAACAAAAATTCACAAAGAGTAAAAATCACGCAGAAACAATCAGAGAGAGAGAGAATGGGTTGGGTTAGAGGAGAAACCCTCGGTAAGGGTGGTTTTGGGTTCGTCTCCATCGCCAAAACCATGCAAGATCATAATCTGCCGCCGTTGATTGCCGTGAAATCCGCCAAATTTTCCGAATCCGAATCACTGAAGAAGGAGAAGGAGCTGCTCGACAAGTTCCAGTCATGCCCCTCTATCCTCCGCTGCTTTGGTGACGAAATCACGACCGAAAACGGGGAGAAACTCTACAACATATTGCTCGAGTATGCCTCAGGTGGATGCCTCGTCGATCACATCATCATCAAGGGCCTTCCGGAAATCACCGTCAGCCGCTGCACGAAATCCATACTCATGGCGCTCATTCACATCCACAAGGCCGGCTACGTTCACTGCGACGTGAAGCCTCACAACGTGTTGCTCGTCGGCCAAGACGCGAAGCTCGCGGATCTAGGGAGCTGCTGCAAGACGAGCTTCGATGGAAATAGTAGGTGTGATGATTTCAGGGGCACGGTTATGTATGCGGCCCCAGAGTCAATAGCCCAGCAGAAGTACTTGCCGGAGTCGGATGTTTGGGCCTTGGGCTGCTCGGTTCTACAAATGCTGACTGGAAAATCACCGTGGGCTTTCGACAGCAAGGCCCAGCCGAAGGATGTTCTCTTCAAGATCGGGTGCAGTGACCAGATTCCCCAGATTCCAACAAACAACAGAATATCCAAAGAGGCTAAAGACTTTCTTGCAAAGTGTTTGGTGAAAGATCCGACGGCAAGGTGGAAACCCGATATGCTTCTCGATCATCCATTTGTCAACAGGGCCGATCGACCAACAATTGCCGGAAAATACCATCATCATCATCATCACCACCATAGATTGTCTCATGGCATTCACTCTTTGGTGCCTCACTGTTTTCACCATCCAAAAGTGCAGGCCTGCTGATTACATCTTCAATATGTTTGTACACTGAATACTTTTAACAATTCTTGTATATATCTTTTCTCTTCACCACTATATTACAATGTCAATACTAGCTAATTCCTTCTTTCTTCCTGCAATGGAAATGGTATCACATTAAAAAAAAAACTTGCACATTTTAGATGGACACAGATAAATCAAGATATTCAGTTAAAATTACATGGCATGATCTTGTACATAAGAACCTCACTATCGCAAAAGATGACAATTGACGATTTGTAAAAAGTCCCCAAAAAAAAAAAAATGTTACGGAAAGGGAAACAAACAAATGCATAGAACCCTTCAACGAATTCATCATTTCCAATTCATTCTGAAAACCCCTTCTTTCTGACTATGAAAACGCTTCCACAGAGTATACCTGACCAGCCAAAATCGATAATGTCAATTTTTCCCATTCCAAAGTTCCAGCAACTCTATTCAATCACCAACTGTGTTCAACATTATGCCCAAATATATACACAAATGAATTTCTGCAGCATACATTATATGCATTCTACTGGCATATGCACTCATCCTAACCAGTCCCCGACTATCAAACATCATATACATAAACTAATTCCTCAACTCACATTAAAATCGTCACATTATGAAGCACACACAAGACTAATTTTGAAGAGCCACAACGTTCGAAGAGGGATGAATTACCGAAATGCGAGTAGGAATCGAAGTAATAATCGGCGCTCGTCTTATCATCCAAAGCAATCAAGGAATCCTCGGGATCGCCCATGACAGAATCCTCCTCGAGAATCGAACTCTCTGTGGCAGCTTCTTCAATGGTTTCTGCATCATCGTCCTCGTCGTACTGGAACCTGATCTTCGTGGGTTTACTATTAGTGAAGGTCAAATCGTGGCCGCCATGAGCATCAGCCGTGCTTCGAGCTTCCATGGTTTCAATGCTGGGACTTTATTTTGCAGGGTTTCTGAACTAATTGGAGGGTTTTGGATTTTGGTGGCTGCAAATATGAACTAGGGTTTTATTCCCCAAATGTGTCACTCCAACCTGCAAAATATCAGCCGAGTTAGTGGCCAGTTTGGGGATATACAGTGTGGACCCAGTGCTTGATATAAAAACCCAAATACAATTTATTAATTCAAAATTTATATATATATAATTACTGGCATGTAGCATTTAATAAAACATTTAATAAAACCTCTAAAATTTTCCCTCCATCTTCGGTTACAAAATTTGTTTTTAATATTTTTTACTTCTCACATTAATACATCTTAATGAGTGTAATCATGTATGTTTTTATTATATTATATAATAATTATTGCTAATACCAACTAATAATAATTCACAATAAATATAAATTACATAATTATAAACAATTGTTTTCATGTTATGTATTTTAACATCAATATTATCTTTTTCTTTTGTATCTCATAAAAAATTTTTTTTAAAAACAATTAGTAAATTATTTTAATATCATAGTTAAACAACTTTAGAATCTTATAAATAATTTTTTTAGTAATATATATATATAGAATTGCTAGCTTAGCATTTAATTTTACCTGTTGAATAACACCTCTAAAATTTTTACTCTATTTTTCAGTTACAAAATTTATCATTAATATTTTTTTACTTCTCACATTAACACATCCTATCAAGTGTAATTATGTATTTTTCTATTATATTATATAATAATTATTGTTAATACCAACTAATAATAATTTACAATAAATATAAATTACATAATTATAAACAATTGTTTCAAGTTATTTATATTAACATCAACATTTTCTTTTTCTTTTGTATCTCATGAAAGAATTTCTTTAAAAACAATTATTAAATTATTTTAATAACATAGTCAAACAATTTTAGAAGCTTATAAACAATTATTTTTTAATAATAATAATATTAATAATGATAATCAAACTGTTATTATCTAATGATAATGAACACTTTTTCATAACAATAAAATCGTTAATTTATTTTTCCTAATAATCAATTTTTTTGAGAATTTTAATATTAAATTCTCAAATATTACTTACCAATATTTTATGTACATCTGTGCATATGCACATGATATCTACTAGTATAGCTTAAATTTTAACTTTAACTCCACTATAATTAATATTGTCAATATAATACAATAATATAAATTAATCATATTTACACATCACAGTAATTTTAATTCATTGTTCATTCACTCACATAATTCTAAATACTCTACTCTCAAATATGTCTCTCATATTTTTACCTCAAATCACCTTTAATCATTTATTTTAAATATTGTTTTGATACATATTCAAAATCTCACTCAAACCTAACTCAACTATTTTTTTTTTTCAAAATAAACTATAGATAACCAATAAAACCAATCAAAACGACAATATTCAATTACAAACTTGTATCCAAGCACACCATAACTACTTTTTATTATTAGTATTTGATCGATTGTGTATAACTATTTGGAAAAATTATCTAGCTTACAATCAGCGTAACTATTTGACGGAATTCATTTCGCAAATCTTCTCTTACACAGGTTTCTCTTTCTATTTTTTCTTTCATCTCTCTATTTTCTATTGTTGCTATATCTTGTGATTCGTGCTTGTTTGTCCCATTTTTGGTGCGTTTTTCTTTATTGTTTTGACTTTCTTTTTCTCACGTTTTAGGTCTTTTCGCTAGTTTTTATTCGGTTTTGTAGTTTATTGTGCATTTTGATCTATTTCGGCTTTCTTTGTGTTTTCATCGTTCTTCCACATTTATTTTCCATTTTTTTCCTTCTTCTTCTGATTAAGCTTGTATTACGAATTCAACGTTCGAACTTGGATTAATTGTAAGTATTTCTTTCTCTTATTTAACTCATGAATAATGGTTTATTTGAGAAGAATTATTATGATTGTTGAATTTTATTTTACGTAGCTAAATCCAATTGCTAGGGATAGGGGATGATTGTTCTCGTTTGAATTGTACTTGTCGGGCTTCGATTCGTTCAAACTTATGTGCGTTGTTTTGATGAGGAATTGATAGAATCTTGTTTGATTGGTTGATATAATCGAAGAGTGACACTTCAATCTTGCAATTGGAAATAATTGAATATTGATTAGTTGAGTTAGGGTTTTGTCGATTCTATATAATTAATTGATTAATCACCTTCTAATTGACTTAGCGGCTTTCAGAACCAAAAGGGGAGAAGTCGTAGAAATAGACTCGCATGAGGTAGATAATTTCGTAACTGAATAGTCTACATGTTTTAGATTGAAATACGCACTTGTCGATGAACCGTCCCTTGTTACGAAAAGTTATTGGGCTTGGATAATTGGCCTGTGTCGTATGCTCGAGTTTGTTCGTCTATGTTCAATCCCTTGTTACGAGGAGTTATTGGGAGCGAACCGCTAGATGTTTAAGCGAGAGTGTCAATCTGAAATAGAATGATCAATGTCCCGGTTTTGCATATAGAACTTGAATTAATTATCCCCGATTCCCTAGCTTCTCCATCTTTATTTCGTTTATCTTTTTAGGTAGATTCATGCTTTTTATTATTTCGTAGTAGATAGTTATTCAAACCCTTTATCTGATTAGCATGTTTAAGATTTATTTTGCTTTTTCGTGCTATCAATATCAAAGCAAAATTCCGAACAGCCTTCCTCGTGAGATCGACCCGGGGAACGAAATTTTCGATTCGGTACTCGGTAAAAAGAATAATTTGTACACAACAGTGCTTTTGTTGAAAATATGAGCTCGAATTATCTTATTATTCTTTTATGAAAAATGCCGTTTTGGTACTCTAACAATCTTCTCTTTTCACTTTCGCTTCATCTATTCACTTAATCATGTTACATACCCTATGTTTGGCTTGTCATCAATCAATACTAACGTTTTTCGGTGGTCTGTCGTCTTGACCAACGGCTTGTTACAACCCATGAAATCTAAGTACGTATAAAAGGAGAAAGTTTCACACTTCTTTTGTGTTGGTAGGAGAACTTGACCTTTAGCCAAAAAGTCGATTTAGAGACTTGAAAAAAAAAAAAAATGAGTTGATGTCTTCAATTGTGAGTTGGAATTCACAATTTCTTAGAGCATAAAATGTTGAAGCCTACTATCATTGTGAGATCAAAGTGTTCTCGAAGGCTTCTTGGACTCCACATAATCCGCGAAGAAGATATTGAGTTGATTTGCCCTAAATAATATGGGGTAATATTTTTAAGATTTGAAGATCAATCTAACCTGATTTTTTTTTTAGAAGTTTTATTGTTATTATTATGAAAATAAATTGCAATATGTTGGGTATTGTGACTTTTATAAATGGGTGGATCCTAAATTATGTAATAGAGCTAAACAAATTATTGCAGGTTTGTTGAAAAAAATGAAATGACTTCAAGTAAATGAGCAAAAATGACTGAAAACAAATAAACGATCAAAAATGACAAAATGAACCGAGAAAAACCTCAAATAAACTAAAACGAGCACAAATTAATCACATGAAAATCACATAAAATAACAACAAAAAATATCCAAAAAAAAAATGGGCTTCTTCCCTATGGAGACGCTCCAGTCGGCCTTTAAGACTAATCACTTGCACTTCACCATCCGTTTTTCCCATATGGAGACTGAACCTTCTCGACAGACATGCTTAGAGACACGGATGACGTTTTCCTGGACGACAACCTTCTTAGAGAGGAGACGGATCAGCTAGACACTTTGATTAGCGACGAGTCCTCTATCGTACGGACGATATATAGTTCTCTAGGCGTTGCTTCTTCGAGCGAGCATACATCCAGCCACGTGCTTTTCCAGGGCTCGAGTCCCACTTCTGTCACCACTCCCCTAGAAGGGGTTGAGTCGACAAAATTTTCGTGGTGAATAAAAGAATAATAATAAAGAATTTTAAAGTATCTTGCAATGAAATTACCTAAACGAAAATGCTTATGAAACACATGAAATTTGAAATTATTAAAGAATTAAAATAATACTATGGTAATAAATTATTAATAAGAAAAGACATTAAAGGATTAATTAT